TCTCTTTAGAATTCATTTTAAAGCAGTTTTATAGTTTTTTTTTGGGGGGGAAGAGTCTTTTATTCTGACCTTACGTACAGATGTCACGCAAAAACATCAATAAACTGCATTGAATAGCTGTCAAAATGGATATTTTCGTTGAAATATGCGGCCTGAAATTTTTCGCGATTACAATACTTCCTTTTTACTTCGTACAAGGAAGTAAAAATGAAACACACAAATTAATAATTAAAATAAAAAGTAATTTTATTCCTCTCCCCCAATGCCCGCATGCTCGCTTGTAAAATATTGGTTGCGAATGGCCGAAACTGGGGTCAATTAACAGTCTCGGTAAAAACTACATTGGACAGCACGGCCTTCAAAGGCCACGTATGGCCTGCGCAAATTGTGACCCATATCGCGTCCGTGAAGCGAGAGTGGATAAGAACATACTCATGGTTTCCGAGATTCGAGCCTACGTCTCGAATGTTACGTTAAGTCTACGTTATGGCAGTTGGCAGCGCTAACCGCCCTTCCAAACAGGGCGGCATTACTTTAATAATAAAGCATTTTACATTGCAGTTATTACATGTAATATGAAAATAATACAAATAGATTATAACACAAAGAAAATGGGAGAAATGCAAATATTTCTCATTAAAACTTTGTTCCTTTTAATGTAATGCGGTGTGTAAATTTTTAGCTGGTATTTTTCAAATTGAATATTTTCTTTTGAAAACAATACGTTATACTCTACAGGGTGTCACAAAACATCATTTACAAACCTTACGTGCTGATCTGTCAGACAATGGGAAACAAGTTTTACATTTTACATAGGAAGTTGTGTCCGAAGCTGTGACCAACCGCCGCTATAATGGCGATGTTCGCAGGTATATTGGAGAGCGGAAAGCGGGTTTTCTCAGGTGAGGACGTTGCACAAGAAAGATGCTCCTGTTCCGTACCGAGCAGCTGGCCACGCTTATGGGGCCATGGATGGAATTGGACAAGGCACAAGAATCATGTATCGAGAGCAGCACTTCCCAAACAGGTGTTAGCCAAGTCATCCATTATTTGGACAATTGCACTGCAGATTAAGCGAGGCTGGAGCTTTCCGAATACGCAGGCACATCTGTTGGCAACCTACTACGTACTACAAGCACATGTGCCGTAGAGGCAACTGTGCTAAGGAAAATAGAGAGGACTTGAGAACACGACGTGGTACATGTTCGATTGCTCTGATAATTATTCAGTGATTCCTCTCGATTTCCCTTAGCACAGCTTCCTCTACCCCAGAAGTGTATGTAATATATTGCCGCCCAATGTAGCAGCTCACTCGGAAAGCTTCAGCCTCACTTAATCTGCGGTGCAATTGTCCAAACAATGGATGACTTGACACATTGTGTTTAAGAAGTGCTCTTGGTGCATGCATCTTGCTCATTTCCATCCACGGCTCCATAAACGTAGCGCAGTTCTTCATTTCTTAACTGATGTATTCTTATCCTGCAACATCCTCACCTGAGCGGCCCACACGTGAAAGTGATTAATGACCCTGACTGCCGTACCGAAGGCCCAGGGTTTGAATCCTAGAGAAAGCATGGATATAAATTATCTGTCCTTTCATAGGAGGTAACGGTGGACGTCTATTAGGTGCCTCCATATTAAAATGATCACCGCTTCTAGCCTTAGTGGCTAAAGCCTGAAATGGCTAGTGTCCGCCATGAAAAAAAATCCTCGCCTGAAGTGGCCCAGTTTACGGCTTTTCAATACGCCTGCGGGCGGCCGTTCTGTAACCATAACCTTCAGTTGTCTCACGTTCTTACAATGTACTACATGTTGTCTAGCCGTTGTATGGCCATGTTAACTTTTTTTTTTTTAAGATCCTAATAAACTCCCGGGGCGGCCTCATGGGCTCCAGGGAGTTGTTGCCTCTAGATAGTGGAGGACGCGAGGCATATGCCTGTTTACCTATGTTAGACACCAGGCGTCCCCGTCCTCCGTCACCTGTCACCTGTCTTCTTATGTAAAATTTGTTCGTCATGATTGCAGAGACCAGGACGTTAAGTTTGTAAATGACCATTTTTGGAGACCCTGTATATTCAGGTCTCAAAATCAGCTGGAGCCCCGAATAATTAAAATAAAAATAATTAAAATAGTAATAATTATTTAACTATGAATTATTTTATTATTCCATTAGTTAGTTTATTTATTTCTGTTCCTCTTTCTCGACAGCCTTCTAAATACCTCCTACGCTTAAATCCCAACTAATTAAGCTCTGCTTTTAAACAACCTAGGTTTTGCGCATACATATGACAATATCCTCAGTCAGCTGGCCAAATTCATTTGTACAAAACAAAATAAATGTAAACTTCAGCTAATTAAAACATTTATCAAATTCATATCAAAGAATAAAACAGATCATGCGACTGAATTAGCTTATTCACTGTACCTGCTACTGTATTCGTACAACAAAAGAAAAATCTGCTGTTTCTTTTCGATATATCAGCCAAACGCTTTGATATGTGGCCGACGCACATCATTCATTCACACAGGTAATTCGTATACTGAGGTATTTTGGTTTATTTCATTACGGCAAGGCACGCTAGAGCCACCCGCATAAGAGAAGGATATCTTCGTGAAGTACCTTTCTAAGGGAAACTGGCTCATATCCACATTGCACATGGGGATGGGGAATATCCTGAAACACCAGTGAAACACCTCTTTCGCTTTGCATTGAATCTAGTTCGAACTACCAGTGTTCAGCGATTTTATCGCTCAGCTGCTACTGAGCATTCGTGTTCCGAGAAGCCTTGGTACTTGTCGCTGCTCAACATTCCACAAAGAATAGAGTCCGGTGATCCGTCTGGTGTAAGCGTGCTTGTTATCAGTTATTGCTGCATTTTTTTCATAGTTGAAAATTAAGTGCAATTAAAGAAAAATCTGTGATACCGCTGCCTCTTATTTCATTGAGATTTAAAAGTTTTCTAGAAATCTTGAACTACAGTACTTCATACCACCCATAGGTGTGCACACATACTTAGACAGTTGGGATGATTAAGTATCGAAGTAGATTTGAAAGCAAAGCTCGTTAGCTCTTGACTCACACAGACTTCAATAAATTTCAGTTATAACTGACCTTGCTTTTAAGTTTGAAATTATTATTTGGTTGTTTTGTGATTATATTTACAGTACCTTGAAATACGAGCATCTCTATATACAAGAAATCCGAGGTGCGAGGAAAGTATGAGCGGTCCTTAAATACGAGCATTGACTCGAGTAACGAGTAACAAGCCAGGCTGTTGGTATGCGTGGCGCGTTTCCCGGTCCGGCTCGACTTCGGTAATACCCTCGTCAGATCAATTGATGTTCACTTGATCTACGTCGGATCACTTAATCTACGTGTTTGTGCGCTTGTGAGTTAATTGATTTTTACATTTAACGTGAAAATAATTATTTCACGATGCTTCCCAAGAAGATTGTTGCCTCAGATAGTGCTGCAAAGAAAAAGAAGGAAGCCATGGCCTTCGAAATTAAAGAAACGACAGATAAACATAAGCCTGGTGTAAGATTGAGAGAACTGGCAAAGACTTACGGCCGTTGACATCGACGATCTGCAGTATTCTGAAGAAGAAGGAAGAAATTAAGAAACTTGATGCGGCCAAAGGAGTTACCGTTATTTCCAAGCACCGTTCAAAACTCCTAGAAGATGCTGAGCTAGATGAAACTCCTAGATGATGAGAAGCTGTTCTTGGTGTGGTTTAATCAGAAGTAGTTAAAAGGCGATTCGGTGTCGGAAGCTATCATTTGAGCTAGGGCTAAGAATCTGTACTTGGACCTTCTCCAAAAAACACCAGGCATATCGACTGAAGATGAGATGGTAATGAGATTTTGGGGGTGCGGAACAGATTAACTGGTTTTCCATTATTATCAATGGGGAAGATTGTTTCTAGATACGAGAAATTCGCTATACAAGCTCATTGCTGGAACGAATTAAAACTCGTATCTAGAGGTTCCACTGTAATTTGTAAATAAATCTTCTATCTTATAACTTCTTCATCAGCGACGTTGGATCGTAACTATCACTCTCACAGCTTTATCCTATCATGAAATGCTTTACTTTTAAATATACATTCGAGAATCTTTTAAATTGTAGCTGAATTTTCATCGGGAGTTAGATTAGTTATTTATAATTATTTACGTTTTATAAAGAATAATTTTTACTGTCCGATTTGCTTAATCCTCAGAGATAACGAATCGTATATTATCTAATGAAATGTTGTTTTTTTCCCTCATTCACTTTAATGATTTTACTGAGTACTTCATTCTGAAACACATTCTATTTGTTTTAGTTTTTATATAATTTAATAAAATATAACCCTAGGGTATATATCAATATACCGAATTTCAAATAACAGCTAGTTCTACGCTACTCATCAAACATTAAGCCCACCAGTAGCAGAGCAATGAAGTCACAGAACTCTGGTACTTCGACATGGGTTCTATTTCAGGTAAACAATCTGGCTGCATGGCTGTTTCCGTGGTTTTCTTCATGTGTCTCTTGTATATGAGGCAGTTTTAATTAGAAAGGTGTCTACATGTTACATGCATGAAAGGTGTACCCTTCATGCAGATAGCCCTCCCGTGTTTTTCCATAATAATAAAAAATCACGAAACATCATTTCAAATTATGAATCTAATTACCAGTCACTTATTACCAACAATTGGCTGGACTGGAATGAGACTGAATAGCTAATTTATATTGTAATTTAGCTTGAGTGTAATCTCTAGCAGACGAAGAAGTTCTAAGTTAAAATTCCTATAAATTAAAAAAAAAATCACGTAACTGCTTAGACTTTGCATTGCGTTTATGCCTAACAAACTTCCAGTTTTGCAGTTAAATTTAGTTCGTAACAAAGGGTACGAAATTTCTTGTCTGCGATATAATCATCAAAAATAATGTTTCTGGTTAAAGCAAAATGCACATAAAATATAAAATTATTAGATAAGTATACGGACTCCCTCACCTTTCGTCGCAGTCACAGTGGCTGATCGTATGAAACCTGAAGTTGAAGAAGTTGAATTTCCTGGTGAATCCTTCAATAGTGTAAGGGCAATGGTCGTGATCCCTGCAACAGCGATCCGCTGCAGCATTGTAGCCTAGCTCGTTGAATTTCCTCGCATTGCTCCCGGATCCGCACCAGTTGGTGCCTGGATACAGAAAGAGCTCCCTCTTCAGACGCTGGATGCTGCTGTGGCTGTGATGCTGAGCTAATTCTCGGACTCTTTTGTGCAGGGTCCGGCATTCCCTACGCAAGGACCCGTAGTCCGTAACATCCGGTTTGGAGCTCGTGAAGTTGTCATCCTCTTCTGGAAGAATCCTGGACTCGTTCCAGGCTTTCTGGTGAGGACAATCGATGTCCGCCGCGAAGTACTCGTAAAATTCGTCGACTGCTCGAGCCGACTTAAGATATTCGCAATCTCTCAACTCCCATCCGGAGTCGTAGATCAGTTGAATAAAATGTCGCCCGTCTGTCACCTGAAGGAGGGTGAGAACTTGAAACTCGTGGACAGCAGGCGAGGTAGATTCGCTTGGAATAGGTACCAATTCCACGGTAGTCTCGATGGTCGACACGTGTCCTTTGTGGATTCTTCTTTCCACTTCGCCATCGGGCAGGACTCGAGTGCAAACGAAATCATATTTGTTGGCGCGCAGCCAGGCTGGTCTACGAGATTCGCTCGACGTGGCCGCCGTGAGCAGAAGCAGTGTTACCCACTGTCTTAGTCGGCACGATGTCATACTCGCATACCTGCGAATTTAAAAACAAATGAAACTGGACATGAAATTACAAGCAGTTTTGGTAATGAATCAAAAACTTGTTAATACTTTATAAAGTTTTATTCTGTTAGGTAAAAGGAAAGTTTAATTTCAGCTTCTGCTTCTCAGATTTGTTCAAAAGTTAAACAATTTTCAATTTTTTGTAATATTTGCAGAAACAATACCTTCTTACATGATTTTATTTATTTTGGTTTCTTTGTTTGCTTGAGCAAAATCTTAAAATCAATTTATGACCCAGTACTATCAAACTGGTTTTTTTTTCAAAGTTTACCAGACATACTTATTGCCCAATTTTGATTTTGACAATCAACTTTATCATTGCGGACTTTCAGTCTTTGCATTATCACTTATATCGGGGAATCTTCCAAATGGTAACGTATTATACAAGATATTTGTAACTTGAGACTAAAGTTTCCTTAATGTTTTCCCCTTACTTTTCTTTCAATTCAGAAAATGCATTTCCGCTTGAAAGGCGGGCAAGTGCGATTTCAGCGATCCACAAACGAATGCTACTTTCAAATTAAGTGTGAACGGTATCTAACTCAGTTTATCGAATTTTGGCTCTTTTTCCTGAATCAACCCGTAGGCTGTGAAACTGCAAACGGTAATATATTTATAAAATCGAAATATTCAAAGAAACATTTAAATGAACTAAGTGTAATCTTAACCGTAAGATAGATCGGAAAACCTCGAGAGAAAGACGATGTCACGTGTTTCATTATTACTGATTAGGAGAAATAATTTTCTTTCTTACTAATTTTTCCTTTTCTGTGGACTAAATCTTTTATTCCTGAATTCTAATTTAGTACTCTGAGTTTAAATTACACTCTAGGTTAATTTCTATACAAGAAAATTACTTTTCTTACTAAATACACCTTCTGTCTCAGAATAATAGCAGAAACTGATGAATTTAATTTGTCCCTTAATAATAGTAGCAAAAGAAAATAAATATAGAACACAAAATTTACTATCAAAAAGGCTAGATAAAATTAAACAATGAATTAAAACATTATTCCTAACTTTTATATTGAGTGTTTAGAGAGTTTCTGTGTTTTCAACAATTTCGTTACTGCATTTTAAACTTGTAAATAGGATCCCTTAGTTTCGAAGCTTTGTATTCTCTATACATGGCAGCTTAAAATTTTTGGAGACATCATTATGCATTGCTTTCAGCATAACTTGTTGAAGTGACAGAATCATATTATCCAGCATTTTGGGAGAAATATTATCAAAAGCTATGTTTACTGCTCCTATGGTGTCCATTCTGTTAGGAGAAATATGTCTTAGTTTTTCAATAATCTTTGCATTTACGACCTCAGTTTTGTTTATTCAAAGAACAGGATTTACACTAAAAAATAAATATGAAAAATCTGAAATTTCAAATGTTTCATACTGACTCAGGCCGTCCCAAAGGGTTTGTTAAGGTTTTTTATGCTTTCTCTGAGCTTGCAGTCTATCATTCTGCTGTTTCACTGACTCCTATCAACCCATTTTTTTTGCGGGGGTAGTCTTTTTAGCTTTATTATTAAGAATCATTTTCTTTTCACTTACGCATATACAATTTAACAGTTGAATTGCAAAAATTTTAAAAGGAGCATAGCAGTATACGTTTAAAATTCCCGATGCAGCTTTAAGTATCGGCATACATTTCCCCCCCTCCAGTTTTTTCTCAGTTCATCATACCAATGTTAAGTTTTCTCACTAAGAGGAATTTACAAAACTTTTATTTATCTTTTTATTATTAACGTTTTGTGTGTTTACTTCATTTATTAAATATCACATTCCTGGCGCTTTTGCCACATAAAATTTGATTCAACGGCAAAATCGCAAAATATTTTTAAAAAGCGTATCTTTAGAATTAATTTACAATAGACAATCTTGGCGCTGGAGATGAATTCCCCCCCCCCATACAGTGTTGTCACGCTTGGTTTGAAATCGTTAAATTTTTACAAAATATGAAATAGATAATAAAATAAACTAGGAATTCAAACTTCGATCTTCCAGATACCAGTGTTCGGGTGGAAGACTACGTTATTCAGAATCGGATGGATGAGCCCTTAATTTTCCCAATGCGAGAAACATGCATATTCATCATTGTCATGCAGATTCTTCATTGTTCAATGTCCTTAAATATAAAGTTCTAGGTTCCTTCTAGGTTTGAGATATGAAGCGGTGCTTTTTTTTTTTTTTTCCTGTACATGCTTGTCTATGCTTTAGAAGTGTTTTTAATAATGAGTATTTAATTTTGTGTGTGTGTGTTTTTTCTAGGAAGTAAAGCATTAAGATAATACTGATCGATGAATTAAAATTATCCATAATTGGTGCCAAATCATGCTAATTGGCCTGTCGACGGATAATGCTTAAGTACCTATTCTTTTTTACGCTTTAATTTTATTGATTTAAATAAGAAAGCATTTAAACAAGGAGATGTCTAATTAGGAACTTTTAATACACTCTTTCGCAAAAAAATCGAAGCACCATGAAGGACTTTTGCAATCGTGACGAAATTTGATATCCAGAAACATCTTGATCGAACATGCAAATGCTCAAAATTTCAAGGCAAATGAACAGGAATTGCGACCATAGCGCGCATTTCTAGTGCCCAACTCACAAAGCATAAAACCAGTAACAGAGGTGGAAAATTTATCTTTGTTTTGTTTCTGCCATTGTATAATTCCGTAAAAAGCAACTAAAGATGCCGTTACGGCGATATCGAAGACCTTAAAGACAACCAAACGACTTCGAACGTGGTCGCATTGTAGGGTTGCGTGAAGCTGGGTGGTCATACCGAGCAATGGGCCGCCACCTGCAGCGTATAGACACTGCTGTGCAAAGATATTGGCAGAAATGGTTGCTACAAGGAAATTGCTGGCGAAATAAAGACTCTGGAAGACCAAGGAGTACAAATGCGAGCCATTGTACTCCTTGGCCAACAATCATTGGATAGGATGATTGTTCGCCAGGGCCGAACCGCCCCAACGTTATCATTGTCGACTATTCAACGCACTGCAGCCACTACTCTTCCTTAGCCAGCAAGGTCACCAGACCTTTCACCAATCGAGCAGTCTGGGGCACGGTAGGTCGCCAGATTCAAGCACCACAAAATATGGAAGATTGGACAACTGGAGCAGCAACTGACTAATGCCTGGCATAATGTATCGCAGGATGACATTAGGAACCTCTACCACTCCTTGCCTCGACGAATTCAAGCACGCATTGCCGCCAGGGGCGGTTCGACCAACTACTAATTTGAACACTCAATGGGTGATTGTGAGCCGTGAACAGGTACTAGGACCTTGATATTTTAATCATTTTATTATCTGTGTAGAGCTATACACATATTCAATTTCATCAAAAGCAACCACTTTCTTCATGGTGCTTCGATTTTTTTGCAAAAAAGTGTATTGTTATGAAATTACGGTAGCTGAAATTATTAAAATCATTAAATCATTACATATTATTTTTCTTCTCATAACAACTATTCGAAGATGCTGCCCGCGCAAGCGACTAGTAAACTTTAAAGCATGAAGAAGAGGATAATTGATATTTCTATAAAATAAAATCAACTGCTGCGTCTTTTAACATTATTAAATGTTTTATGTATGTGCGTTTTTAATTTAATTAAAAATCTACTACATTTCTCATTTTGAAAGTTTTAACCTCTTCGGTTCCGTATTCTGTGGACTTTTTAAATCAAATTTATATGTTTTGCCATATGATCATACGAAGTACTCCACTTCATCGATCTTTCTTATCTGAAAGTATTGCTAACTTCTCTTCTGAAGCAAGTTCTTCAAAGAATGGCTATTGGTCCAGACAGCACGTTCCTTTCAGAATCACGTAGAATGAAACATACCAAAAGGAAAACAAAAATTCTTAAACGCTCGAAAATCTGTAAAATTGTTTAGTTTCAAAGTTGTTTCAGAGAAATGTCTTTTCCGGTCAAGGTCATCCTTCGTAAAAGTTATTAAACGCGAAATGATGTTCTGTTTAAGTTTCCAGTTTTGTTTGCAGAAAGGGTACGTGCCATATTTCCTTTAACTATTATCCTCGTGCTTATCACCAAGAAGTTTAAGATTTTTTTTTTTCTTTTTTTAAATCTCGGCGTAGTATCAGTGATTGATATATTTTAAGCTCAACTGCAATATTTGATGATAAAAGGAATTTTGTTTCTCGCATTGTGAAGAAACGGCGGTACCTAGAGCCATCCAGTTCTGAATAACGCAGTCCTTTACTCGAACATAGGCACCTGGAAGGCCAAATATTGAATTTCAAATTTGTTTTATTATCTATTTCCTATTTTGTAAAACTTTAACTAATTTTTTGATTAACAACCTTAACGGTTTCAAAGCGAGCCGTAATAACACCGTACGAAAAAAAAGAAAAAAAAAAAAAAAAATTATCACCAGCGTGCAAGACTGTCTATAAGATATTCTAGAGATATGCTGTTTTTAATGTTTTTCGGTTTTAACGTTGCATCAAATTTTATGTGGCTTAAGCACCAAGAACGGGATATTTAATAAATAAAATAAACACAGAAAACACTAAAACAAAAATACCAAAAACAAAGGTTTGTAAAGCGATCTTAGTAAAAAACACTTAGCACTGATATGATGAACTGAGAAAGCACTGGGGGGGGGATGTGTGCCAACAGTTAACGCTCCATCGGAAATTCGAAACGTATACTGTTTTTAAAATTTTTGTAATTTTGTTGTTCAATTGTATATTGCTTAAATGTAAAGAAAATGAAATATTTGAAGAATAAGTAAATTTGAAATATTTAAAAACAAGTAAAAAAAAAAAAAAAAAAAAAATCTGAAATGTTTCAGATTTTAAATTACATCTAAAGGGGCGTTTTTTTAAGGTTTTCTGTGTTACCTGTATTTATTATATATTATGTTCTACGTACTCAAACCATTGAATTCTGTTCAATAGCAATATCGCAAAATAATTTTAAATTGAGCATATCCT